TAAGAAATTGCAGTCTCACAGGGTCTTCCTGTCCTACAGGATCTCCAAGAGTCAGAAGAAATCAATGGCAGTGAATTTCATTTGGTTTGACATACTATGGATAGTTACCAATGGAACCAATATAAAACATATTTGAAAGAGTTCTCTCTTGTTTTATCCTTGGTTTTTTTTGTTTTCAGAACCAAAGTTGTTCATTAATCTTAATATCTGAACAGTAGTTAAAAAAAAACCAACCAGGTAAAACATGGATGTCTTTTAAAACCCCCAACAAAACATTGCAGGTAGTAAAATGCTGTAGGGATATCCTTTTTGTATATGACTCCATGTTTAAAAAATGAATATCCCAAACATTTGTTTACAGATAAAATAATAGATACGACTGGCTGAAATAATTATTGAGTTGAATGATAAAGATGAATATATCTGCAAGAAAAAAAAATATTAGTCAATGTGTACAAGTGTTGCATAGCACATAAAATTAGGGGGGAAATGTTGCTGTCAAGTTGATTCTAACTCATGGAGACCCCATGTCAGAGTAGAAATATTATCCCTAGGTTTTTAAAGACTGATTTCTTGGAAGTTGACCAACAGGGTTATAGTCTGCAAACTACAACATCCAACATTTCACTTAGCAGCTGATTTGGCATCATTGACATTATTTCACAAAATTTAAAAACCAAAAAACCACTGGCATTGAATCAAAAGTGACTCACAGTGATCCTATAGGATAAGGTAGAACTGTTTTTGTGAGTTTCTAAGACTGTATCTATTTTGTTCATTCATTCTTCCATTGATGGACATGTAGGTTTTTTATGTCTTTTTGTTATGGCGATTAGGATTAGGGTAACCAGGGGTGTTTAAGGTATCTATAAATGTTTTGACTCTTATTTCCCTGTTTTCTTTGTATAGGACTATTGTTTCTCTGGTTAGATATGTCCACTAGAGGAACTGTTGGGTCAAATTGTATTTATACTTCTAATTTTGAAGAAGCTGGCCATGCACCGTATAGAACATTGTTGTGGCTATCAGGTGCCATCAAGATGGTTCCGACACCTAGCAGCCCTCATACAGCAGAATCAAACAATGGCCACTCTGAGGTCATCTCAAAAATCGTTTCTGTGCCTGAGCTTATTGATGCAGCCACTGTGTTGATCCATAGGCCCTCATACAGGGTCTTCCTATTTGGACTGCCCTTCGACCTTACCAAGCATGAAGTTCTCCTCCAGGCCTCCCCTGACAACATGTTGAAAGTATGTGAGATGAAGTCTTTTTGTCCTTGCCTCTAAGGAGCACTCTGCTCACATTTCTTCCAGGACAGACTTGCACTTTCAATGTTCTCTGCCAGCACTAAAATTGAAACACATCAATTATTTGGTCCTCCTTATTCAGTGTCCAATTTTCATGTCAGGCAATAGAAAATGCCAGGGTTTGGGTCAGGACCACCTTAGTCCTCAAATTTTTAAAAAATATTTTTATAATGGTTGCCCATTTTAAGGTCTACCCATCAGTGTTTGAGATTCCAGTCTTTCTCTATGATCCCAGCATTTATGGTTCTTTAAAAAAATTATTTGCTAATAATGCTAGCATTAAGTGATCTCACTGTGGTTTTGACTTGCAACTCTACTAGCTAGTGATTGAGAGCATTTCTTGATAAGTTTGTTGCTTGCCTACAGTTCTTCTTTGATGAAGTCTCTGTTTATTATTCGTTGGTCCATTTTAAAATCAGATTATTTCTCTTTTTCTGGTTGAAGTATTGAAATTTTCTATACATTAAACAAAATTAGTCCTTTATGGATCAACACAGTGACTGCATTAAAAAGCTCAG